TCATTTTGTATGGTGGAGTTTTGTGAGGTTTATTATTTTTTTGCGACGTTCTTTGTTTACTTGTTTACGGTTTGAGAGATTTCAGTTTATTTGATTTACGTTTTTACGGTAGCTCTGAGCGGGACTCGAACCCACTGTCTTTTCAAGCTAATTTTGTTTTATTTTAATGGCACGCTTGTGTACCACGCCACGACGTTGGTCGTTAAGTGGTCTTCAGTTTTCTAACTACTCCAGTGTTCCGATGAGTTGAACGGAAAAGCCAAAACGATTGCTCGTTTCTGATTGCTTCGGTTCTGGTGAGTGTGTATCTAGTGTGATTCAAACCCATGTCGTTTGTATTGGGCGATTTTTTATTTCCCATGTTGGCTACGCCATAATATGCAACCACTTCCCTGTTTTATTGTAATTTTGAGTGTTTAATGATGTCTTCCTCGCCCGTCACGCCATGACCCAGTTTCAACCACACGGCCATTTTGCAACACAGTTCGTGACCCTCGGCGTCACCCGACTGACTATATGAGCGTTCTGTTCAACTGTTAAGCTAGGATTTATTACCGTTATTATCATTATATTGTCACGTGATTTGTTTTACCTTATGTGTAATCTTTATTGTAATTTGTATATACCAATTCGTATATACCGAGGAAACGACCCCGATTGAAGGTCATGTATTTTATGACGTCACCAATTCGTGTGTTGGTACTGCTTCTAGATCTGTGCCCAGGTCACTTTTAGGCTCAAGTTCACCACCCGGGAGGCACCAAACACTCCGGGAGGTGCCAGAGTGATCCCAGGGGTTGTTTAGTAGTTCCCTATGCATTAACTCTGTAATCTGCATAAAGCGATATTACGTTTATATCGAGAATTTGGTCCATGATCACAATTTGTTTTTCCACATACATGTATAACACTGTATAGCAACAAGCAATCTATTTGCAAAATAGAAACGAATGATCTAAATCTTGCCATGTACACATATGACTCGGACAGGAATGTCTACGCTCACAATATTCAGTGACACTATGAAAGATAACCCGTATTACGCCCTCATTTATTTAAAGCAGGACGAGAAGTCGAAGTGTGAACAGATCATTTCCCGTTGTATTGTGCTCCCGTTGACATTCGATGTGGGTATTATTAATGTGGGGTATTAATGTGACGAAGGTCATTCATACAGCTTACTGGGCTCCAGTTCCACTAACTATTTCCCGAATTTCAGTAAAACTACATTAGTGTAAGAGTAATTCGACTATAATAGCTGTCACGGACATAAAATTAAAAAGAGCAATGACGAAGTCGAAACGGCTAGAATTAATGCCTTTTTTGCGCGAAATGCGCCTGACACAACCCAAACATAGATGAACGACTCACCTCTTTAAGATCGACTGCGCAAGTTGCGGTACATCGCTGATCTTAAACGACGTATACGATGCCGCTAGCAAAGGTTTTATGAAGGACACCCAGTCTTGCACTACGGCAGCGGCCATCTTGAAAGCTAGCTGAATGGCCTAGGTTATAGCGCCCTCAAACATACGTTGGAGAGATGCTAAATGTCCCAACACCATAAACGATGTTTTTTTATATATCTGTTTTTAACAAACTCATGCTAATGGCCCAAGTTATTTTTTTTAGAAGAGCAGCATTTCAAGATATGAAATACATAAAAAGAAGAGGTTATTTGTCGTTCTCATTAGACAAATGCTTGCACAATTTGTACACACTTTGGCAAAATATTATTACATTGTTGTACATATATCTGCATATAAGGTCTAATGATAAATGCAATTTATTTGTACCCTGTCAAACATTGTAATGATGGAAAAACAATATAAAATCAAATCTGTTGTTTGGGGGCGCTGTCTAAACAAACACAAAGTTGAAAAAAGCAGATCAATTTTTTACACTCAAAACACGCTACCGTGAGCAAAACCTGCTAACAATTTTCCATTTAAAATATTATAGCCGACATGCATGAACAATATTTCCTTGTCATTTAAGATAAACATTTTAGAGTGGAATCATCACGTTTTCGGCTCTTCAAACAATCCGTTACCACGTAGTACGAGGTAAGTTGATTCTGTTGCACGATTTGGTGATGGTGCAATTTAAAAAAAAACCTGTTGTTTGAGGGCGCTTTATAAGCTAGGGGCTATAGTTCACACGTACTACGTTAGACTGGCGCAGTCGGGGCGATTAATTTGTTTTTGTAGTTCAAATAAAATACAAAAAATCGCGAAATGGAGGTGTGAGCGCGAAATCCCCTGTAACTGTGAAATCACCCCGACTGGTTTATTCTGCATGGCCCTCTATCTACACTGCAGGAACCCGTCGATTTTTCAACGGGTAATTATGTTCTAATTGACAATCATCTATGATCTAAGCCAATCACAACGTCTCTTCAACTGATCTCTGACCGAGAAGACGTCGGCTGGTTGTAGCAGCCGATTTTTTTTTTTAATTCTACGACTAGTACGAGTTACTTTTTTTACAAATTGTGATGAATTAGAAACGATGACTACGACAAACTCGAATTTCAACGTGTCGCCATGTTATGTCTGCAGTGTGACCTTTAATGTTCACCTCATTTTGCACGTGTTTCCGCGCCCACCTGTGGGCATTCATGAATATTTAATAGCAATGAAATTCCTGCAGAATAAACCAGTCGGGGGTGATTTCGCGCTAACACCTTCATCTCGCGAATTTTTTTATTTTATTTAAACTACAAAAAACAAATTAATCGCCCCGACTGCGCCAGTCTAACTTGCCCAGGGTAGGGGGTCAATCCATTTTAATGTTCAACCCAAGATTAGATTAGTAGTTTACCCCATATAAGGAAAACAGTGTGAACAATAGAATGAATACTGATTCATTTTTGGAGTACTGATATTTTCCGAACTACAAATTCTATTCTTTTCAGTGCTAGACATATATTGTATTGTGATATTTGTTGGATCATATTATGAATAATATTATCTTGCACAACACATTTGAGATGTGATGCAAATGTATTAAGAAATTAAATGTTCAAATGGACTTACCTGTTGTGCTTCATATCTATACATAGCTCGGAACACTTTGACAAGACCTAGGTATGAATAAACACAAAACTAGCAATTCAGACATCGATGAACTTCGAAACATGGAAAAATTGTACACTTTAACTTTTACCTGTGCACAGATCTGTAAAGTGAAGGTGTTCGTTTTCATTGGGACTATGTCACGGTGATCAACACCCCACCGTCAAGTCCCAATGCAACTATATCACCTTTATAATAACAGTACTGGTATCTAACCACTATAATTTCCATGTAAAAGATTACTAGATTGAATAAAGCTGCAGTTCTGTACATTTTTTTATTTTTCCAACTAAACTGATAATATCAGTTGCCGACTGACACTACGGACCTATGGACGCCGACTTCCTTGTTTAATAATACAGGCGTTAACCCACGAAGATAGGTGGTGCGAATTCATTCCAGTAGTTGTGATTCACATCGCGGAGAAACATTCATACATTACCTGGTTTAGGGGCCAGTTTCGGTGGAGCAGGGCGCGACATTTTGAAATAAAAATAAAAAGACAGAAGTTAAGTACTCGGTGAATGACAATCTTTCACTGATGTCAAAACTTTACAGTAACGTCCCTTCCTTTTCCGGGTTTCGTCTTCAATCTCGATCGCGAGTTGACATCTCGCGCATGACGTGATTTGGATCAGCTGGGGCAATCTGTGTGGGAAATGTAAACACGATGCGAAGTTACTGATTGAGGATTGATTTCCGATCATTGTTTTAACTCGAAGTCTGTTCCCAAGTTGAAATGGACGTTATTCACAAGTTTGGCGAGAAAAATCCAACTAAGGTAAACAGTTTTTTTAAATTATAGAACATCAGAAAACATAAAATCACTTCACTGCGAATTGAAGATTACCATATATGTCTTTTCATTATCGTGAATTAATAATTTATGTGTTAATTTATGGTACATAATTTTTGACAATTGATTGATGTTTATAATAATAATAACTTTATTACACAACTAAATCATCAGAGGATTTATTCAGGTAAAGAGAATAACAAGACGAGAATAAACAAATGTAATAAAAACAAACAAACAAACAATAAAAAAAATAATAATAATAAAATTCGTTCACCGGACAATATTTATTATAATAGTCCAAATTGTCATGAAAAAGTCCCAAATTTTACTTGTCTGTGAAATTATTCATACATGATATGTCCGTGGTGAAATCTGTTGACCTACTTATATTAATTAAAACATGATTAATCTCAGACTCTGCTTGAACACACACATAATTGTATCTAGCACCCTCTATCACACTGTATAGTAAATTACTTTGTTTTCAGTTTCATCAATGTCCAATTGAAGGCAATTCTCACCACCAGAACCTATTTCTGCTTCAGAACTTCGTGAAACAGTGTGGGTTTACTTAGGTGCTGTGGTGTAAGGATACGATGGTTTGACAGCAATGATTGGCACACCACATTGTGTTTGATATGGGTCCCATGCAACATATACAATGTATATATAAAATATGGTGACTGCAGTATATTGCTTGAGATAATATGGCATACAAAACTACCATTGATATTCTTTATTTTTGCACTATTAAAGAATTTATTTCAGTTTATAGATTATTAGTATTTTATTTTTAAAGGGCAGTGGCGGCATGCAGCAAATGCACAACATATGAGGCCCTACAGTAATCTTGGGATGATTGCAATGCAGGACATTTAAGAAGTCAAAGTCAGTATTTAATGCAAATTACAACTATATCAAAACTCACATTCATTCTTTCCACAATTGCCCATTACATAATCAGAAATGCAGAAAGGGAATACTAGAGCCATAATTAAACAGTTTGGTTGACACTGTATCAGTTTTTACTATGTTGTTGTTCAATTACATTATTTTTATCTCACAGAGAATAAAAACAGAAAATGGAAGAGAAGGAGAATCAGGCTACAAAACTGAGACTCTTGAAAAAGAAGATGACAGAAATGAGGTGTTTAAGAATGAATCAGACTATGACACAAAGTTTCCCAAGCATGTAACAAAAACAGAAATCTGGGGGAGAGGATTGGACAAAAGCGCAATAGATATTCATAATAAAATTATCAAAAGCCGATGTCTATGTGACATTCATGTTGAGATGGTGGTTCAGCTAATGGTGGTAGACATGAAAAGTGACAGTAGATATAACACATTGTTGAAGCTAACCAATGCCATTGTGTTATTCAGTGATGACTGTAGAATCACAGATAATGAAATGTGTCAACAAGTTTGCAATATCAGATTACAGATAGTAGGTGATGAAGAATATCTCAGTACTTTGGTGAGTTATTATTATTATTATTAAATCATAATTGCAGGATATAAAGTGGAAAAGTTTGTACATACCATATTAAAAGAACAATATTGTCACACGCAATGTAATATTACCGTAATTGGTATAGTACAGGTGTGATGGTTCAAATACCAAAATGGCAACAGTAACAGAAAGACTTCCCTGGCGCATGATAACATACGAACACGGAGCCAACAGATGAGGTTTCAACTGGTACTGGTATTATTATACTCTGCAAACATCAAGTACAATAACGCGGTAAAACTCCACTACTCCAATAACTAGATACTT